GAAGGGTTTAAAATTTTTTTTAATTTTTTTAAAAAGTTTGTTTGGGGGGGTACAACCCGAAAAAAAATTACTGTACAAGTCCAAAGCCAATTTAGTGTGGAAAAGCCGAAAGGGGGGAACGGAAAAAAAATTTTTTTTAAAGAAGTAATAAATTATTTAAAGACTGCAAAAAGCACTACTTCAAAATGGTTACAAAAAACAAGGTGAAATTCCCCTAAGTATTTATTTCTGGAGTACAAATAAATAGGAAATCTTAAAAACAATACGGTATGTGGTGTTTGGGGGAAGGGATGGGGGGAGGGAGGATTTTTAAATACATTTTGTACAGTAAACCCCGAGTTTTTACCCATAATACGTTCCAGGAGCTAGGACTAAAATTGAAGCAATATTTCTCATAAGAAATAATGTAAATCCAATTCATCCATTCCAGACCCACAAAAATATATACAAAAAATTCATTTTTTAACCCTTTCAGGGCCCGTGCCGTAGTTCTATGGCTTTGAGTTGAGGGTCCAAACCGTAGATCTATGCCATGAGCTCAGCTTACTCTGATAAGCTGTGAGCGGTAAATTTGGGCCTAGATATGAGTGAATACATCTATGTGGTATGTGTGCACCACATAAAACAAATCCTGCAGCACACACTGCATAATGAGAGAAAATGTGACTGTAATTTTTTATTAAAACAGCGAATTTGCAGTGTTTTTTCGTATGTTTTTATAGATGTGTAGATGATAGAATGGAAGATATATTACAGAAATAGAGATGATTTTGATTGGTTTTAGTTCTGGAAATGGCTTGAAACTGAACTCAAAGTAGCAGAAATGTTAAATTTTTTTGCTGATGTTCAAGAGTAAACAAATGACCTCACTTGTCTAATACACACCAGCTGGTGGGTCTAACATACTATCACAAATGTGGTGATATTATTTATACAATTATTACAATATTGCATAACAGTAAATCTTCTATTTTTTGGTTTGAATAAAAATTCATTGTGAATAAAAAATTAAAATGGAATTCATTTGTAAAGCCTGAAAACGTAACTAATGAACAGAGGAAATGTTAGTTTAGTGCCAGGAATGCCTGCATTGTTGATTCTGGACCCTATTTTGAAATTGAACTTTATGTTAAATTGGCCAAATTACCAATTTCTGATCACTTTGTTGTAGTTGAACAGTTGACGTGGCGATTTCTTGTGCTCAATCGATAGAATAGAAGTAATACTAAATTCTCAACCACTCTCCTGATTTTTTTTTTTTTCAACAAGTCGGCCGTCTCCCACCGAGGCAGGGTGACCCAAAAAAGAAAGAAAATCCCCAACAAGAAAATACTTTCATCATCATTCAACACTTTCACCACCCTCACACATTATCACTGTTTTTACAGAGGTGCTCAGAATACAACAGTTTAGAAGCATATGCATATAAAGGTACACAACATATCCCTCCAAACTGCCAATATCCTAAACCCCTCCTTTAAAGTACAGGCATTGTACTTCCCATTTCCAGGACTCAAGTCCGACTATATGAAAATAACCGGTTTCCCTGAATCCCTTCACTAAATATTACCCTGCTCACACTCCAACAGATCGTCAGGTCCCAAGTACCATTCGTCTCCATTCACTCCTATCTAACACGCTCACGCACGCTTGCTGGAAGTCCAACCCCCTCGCCCCAAAACCTCCTTTACCCCCTCTCTCCAACCCTTTCAAGGACGCCCCCTACCCCGCCTTCCTTCCCCTATAGATTTATATGCTTTCCATGTCATTCTACTTTGATCCTTTCTCTCTAAATGACCAAACCCCCTCAAAAACCCCCTTTTTCTGCCCTCTGACTAATATTTTTTATTAACTCCACACCTTTTCCTAATTTCCACACTCAAAATTTTTCTGCATAATATTTACACCACACATTGCGCTTAAACAGGACATCTCCACTGTCTCCAACCGTTCCTCGCTGTTTGCATTTCCCCAACCCAATCTTCACACAAATTAAGAGTGTTGGTACTACTATACTTTCATACATTCCCTTCTTTGCCTCCATAGAAAACGTTTTTGACTCCATATATACCTCAACGCACCACTCACCTTTTTTCCCTCATCAATTCATGATTAACCTCATCCTTCATAAATCATCCGCCGACACGTCAAGTCCAAAGTATCTGAAAACATTCGTTTTTTTCCAAAACTACCCTCCCCAATTTAATATCCAATTTTTCTTTATCTAAATCATTTGTTTACCCTCATCACCTTATCTTTTCTATGTTCACTTCAACTTTCTACCTTTACACACATTACCAAACTCTTTCCACTAACCTTTGCAATTTTTCTTTAGAATCTCCCATAAGCACCGTATCATCTGCAAAAAGTAACTGTGTCAATTCCATTTTGAATTTGATTCCCCATAATTTAATCCCACCCCCCCTCCCGAACACCCTAGCATTTACTTCCTTTACAACCCCATCTGTAAAAATATTAAAAAACCATGGTGACATTACACATCCCTGTCTAAGACCTACTTTTACTGGGAAGTAGTCTCCCTCTCTTCTACACACCCTAACCTGAGCCTCACTATCCTCATAAAAACTCTTTACAGCATTTAATAACTTATCACCTATTCCATATACTTGCAATATCTGCCACATTGCTCCTCAAATCCACTCTATCATATGCCTTTCTAAATCCATAAATGCAATAAAAACTTCCCTACCTTTATCTAAATACTGTTCACATATTTTGCTTCAATGTAAACACTTGATCTACACATCCCCTACCCCACTCTGAAACCTCCTTGCTCATCCGCACCCTACATTCTGTCTTACCTCTAATTCTTTCAATTATAACCCTACCTTACCTTTTTCCGGTATACTCATAAACTTATTCCTCTATAATTTTTACAATCTCTTCTGTCCCCTTTCCCTTTATAAAAAAGGGACTATACATGCTCTCCGCCAATCCCTAGGTACCTTTCCCCCTCTTTCATACATTTTTTAAAAACAAAAGTATCAACCACTCCAACACTATATCCCCCCTGCTTTTAACATTTCTGTCATGATCCCATCAGTTCCAGCTGCTTTACCCCCTTTCATTCTACATAATGCCTCACGTACCTCCCCCACACTTGCATTCTGCTCTTCTTCACTCCTAAAAGAGGGTATACCTCCCTGACCAGTGCATAAAAATTACCGCCCCTCTCTCTTTTCCCTTAACATTTAAAATTTCCCTCAAAATATTCTCGCCATCTCCCTAATACCTCCATCTCCCCATCTACTACTCCCCTGCTCGTTTTTAACTGACAAATCCATACTTTCCCTAGGCTTTCTTAACTTGTTTAACTCCAAATTTTTTCTTATTTTCATTAAAATTTCTTGACAGTGCCTCTCCCACTCTATCATCTGCTCTCCTTTTGCACTCTCTTCACCTTTCTTTTACTCTCCATATACTCTGCTCTTCTTATAACACTTCTGCTTTGTAAAAACCTCTCATAAGCTACCTTTTTCTCTTTATCACACCCTTTACTTCATCATTCCACCAATCACTTCTCTTTCCTCCTTCCCCCACCTCCTATAACTACAAACTTTTTGCCCCACATTCTAAAAACTGCATTTTTAAACTATTCCAACCCTCTTCAACCCCCCCACTACTCATCTTTGCCTAGCCAACCTTTCTGCCAACAGTCCCTTATATCTCACCCGAACTTCCTCCTCCCTTAGTTTATACACTTTCACCCCCCTCTTACTTGTTGCCACCTTCCTCTTTTCCCATCTACCTCTTTACTCTAACTGTAGCTACAAAATAAATAATGATTCGATATATCAGTTGCCCCTCTATAAACAGTACATCCTGGAGCTACCCATCAACCCTTTTTTCCACCAAAAAACATGATCTAATAAACTACTTTCATTATGTGCTACATCATACTTTTTATATTTATTTATCCTTTTTTCATAAAATATGTATTACTTATTACCAAATCTCTTTCTTCACATAGCTCAATTAAAAGGCTCCCCCTTTACATTTACCCCTGGCACCCCAAATTACCTACTAAACATTTTTTTCCCACTTTAGCATTGAAATCCCCCAAACCCCCATTACTCTCACACCTGATTCCAAAACTCCCCATGCATTCACTCAACATTTCTCAAAAAAATCTCTCTCTCTCCTTTACACTTCTCTCTTCTCCAGGTGCATACACACTATTAAAGACCCACTTTTCACACCCCAATCTTTATTTTACTCCACATAATCCTTGAATTAATACATTTATAGTCCCTCTTTCCTGCCATAGCTTATCCTTAAACATTATTGCTACTTTCCCTTTTTTAGCTCTAACTCCCATTTGAAACCCCTGACCTAATCTCATTTATTCCTCTCCATTGAAACTCTCCAACCCCCTTCAGCTTTATTTCACTTAAAGCCAGGACATCCATTTCTTCTCATTCATAACATCCACAATCATCTCTTTCTTATCATTTACACAACATCCACGCACATTCAGACTTCCCACTTGACAGTTTTCTTTTTATTCTTTTTAGTAATCTTTACAGGAAAAGGGGTTACTAGCCCATTGTTCCCGGCATTTTAGTTGACTTTTACAACACGCATGGCTTACGGAGGAAAGATTCTTATTCCACTTCCCCTTGGATATAAAAGGAAAAGTAATAAGACCAAGAACTATTAAGATAAAATCAAAGAAAACTCAGATGAGTGTGTATAAATAAACGTGTACATGTATGTGTAGTGTGACCTAAGTGTTAGTAGAAGTAGCAAGACATACCTGTAATCTTGCATATTTATGAGACAGACAAAAGACACCAGCAATCCTACCATCATGTAAAACAATTACAGGCTTTCGTTTTACACTCACTTGGCAGGACGGTAGTATCTCCCTGGGTGGTTGCTGTCTACCAATCTACTACCTGATTATCTTTTACATTGCCTTGTGTGGTATGCATGTCAGTGAAACTGGTATGTATCAGGATGTTTTTTATAGCTGATAAAAATTGTTGCAGATCCCAAAAGATTCAGATCCCCAGAACCCTGACTCTCCCGATTCTAAGAGATCTGCTGGTTTAACTGCAGTGTGGGTTGCCAGGAACCGCTTTGCTGTTATGGACAAAAGTCACCAGGTAAGTCTGAAACAGTAATAGTATAATCAGTTCCTGGCTCAACAGTTAGTAGTAGTTAGAAAGAGGAAGGAATAAACTTTAGGTAGGATTATAGGTTTGAAGTGTTTAGTAGAGCTGAGATTTTGTTATATTGTATCCCCAAAAGCTTTTAGTTTACATTGCCAGTTTTTTCAGTTGGTAATCAAGAATATGCAGAATGAAGTGACCAAGAAAGTTACCACTCCTCCATGTGATGAAATATTCTATGCTGGCACTGGCATGCTCCTGCTTAGGGACAGTGATGGGGTCTCTCTCTTTGATGTCCAACAGAAAAGGCAAGTACTATTATCACTAGATTTTAGTCCCGTGTTTAGGCATGATTCTCTTAATGCAATGGTAAAGAATAAAAAAAGTGCAATACCATGACTGGAACAATACACAATAACCCATGCGTAGTTTGTCTCCTACATGTGGATTATTTATTTACAGTGGTAAAGTAGTGTTTAACAGTGTCCCTTCCCTTCCAGAGTACTGGGAACTGCTCGCATTGCCAAGTGCCGTTATGTTGTGTGGTCTGCCAGCATGACTACAGTGGCACTACTCTCCAAACATACTATACTCATCTGCAATCGTAAGCTAGAGCGCTTGTGCTCCATCACAGAGACTAACAGAGTCAAGTCTGGTTCCTGGGATGACAGTGGTGTTTTTGTTTATACAACAAGCAACCACATAAAGGTAAAATTTATTAATAAATTTTGTGTATACATATGTATTTAATTTTTGTTGGCAAATATTTTTATTTATTATTATCACACTGGCCGATTCCCACCAAGGCAGGGTGGCCCGAAAAAGAAAAACTTTCACTATCATTCACTCCATCACTGTCTTGCCAGAAGGGCGCTTTACACTAGAGTTTTTAAACTGCAACATTAACACCCCTCCTTCAGAGTGCAGGAACTGTACTTCCCATCTCCAGGACTCAAGTCCGGCCTGCCGGTTTCCCTGAACCCCTTCATAAATGTTACTTTGCTCACACTCCAACAGCACGTCAAGTATTAAAAACCATTTGTCTCCATTCACTCCTATCAACACGCTCGTGCATGCCTGCTGGAAGTCCAAGCCCCTCGCACATAAAACCTCCTTTACCCCCTCCCTCCAACCTTTCCTAGGCCGACCCCTACCTCGCCTTCCTTCCACTACAGACTGATACACTCTTGAAGTCACTCTGTTTCGCTCCATTCTCTCTACATGTCCAAACCACCTCAACAACCCTTCCTCAGCCCTCTGGACAACAGTTTTGGTAATCCCGCACCTCCTCCTAACTTCCAAACTACGAATTCTCTGCATTATATTCACACCACACATTGCCCTCAGACATGACATCTCCACTGTCTCCAGCCTTCTCCTCGCTGCAACATTCATCACCCATGCTTCGCACCCATATAAGAGCGTTGGTAAAACTATACTCTCGTACATTCCCCTCTGCCCCCAAGGACAAAGTTCTTTGTCTCCACAGACTCCTAAGTGCACCACTCACCCTTTTTCCCTCATCAATTCTATGATTCACCTCATCTTTCATAGACCCATCCGCTGACACGTCCACCTCCCAAATATCTGAATACATTCACCTCCTCCATACTCTCTCCTCCAATCTGATATCCAATCTTTCATCACCTAATCTTTTTGTTATCCTCATAACCTTACTCTTTCCTGTATTCACTTTTAATTTTCTTCTTTTGCACACCCTACCAAATTCATCCACCAATCTCTGCAACTTCTCTTCAGAATCTCCCAAGAGCACTGTGTCATCAGCAAAGAGCAACTGTGACAACTCCCACTTCGTGTGATTCTTTATCTTTTAACTCCACACCTCTTGCCAAGACCCTCGCATTTACTTCTCTTACAACCCCATCTATAAATATATTAAACAACCACGGTGACATCACACATCCTTGTCTAAGGTCTACTTTTACTGGGAAATAATTTCCCTCTTTCCTACATACTCTAACTTGAGCCTCACTATCCTCATAAAAACTCTTCACTGCTTTCAGTAACCTACCTCCTACACCATAACACCTGCAAATCTGCCACATTACTCCCTATCCACCCTGTCATATGCCTTTTCCAAATCCATAAATGCCACAAAGACCTCTTTAGCCTTATCTAAATACTGTTCACTTATATGTTTCACTGTAAACACCTGGTCCACACACACCCCTACCTTTTCTAAAGCCTCCTTGTTCATCTGCTATCCTATTCTCCATCTTACTCTTAATTCTTTCAATAATAACTCTAACCATACACTTTACCAGGTATACTCCACAGACTTCTCCCCCTATAATTTTTGCACTCTCTTTTGTCCCCTTTGCCTTTATACAAAGGACAATTTATGCTCTCTGCCAATCCTAGTACCTTACCCTCTTCCATACATTTATTAAATAATTGCACCAACCACTCCAAACTATATCCCCCCCCACCTGCTTATTAACATTTCGCCCTTCTTTATCCCATCAAGTCCCAGCTGCCTTACCCCTTTCATTTTACACCTACTGCCTCACGAACTTTCAAGGCCACACTCAAACTGGCTCTACCACACTCCTAAAAGATGTTATTCCCTCCTTGCCTATATCACGAAATCACAGGCTATCCCTATCTTCAATCAACATTAACTAATTCCTCCAATATTTCCCTTCCATCATCCAATAACCTCTAACTCTCCATTTAATAATCTTTCCTCTCCTATTTTAACTGAGCAAATCCATTTGTTCTCCTAGGCTTCCTTAACTTGTTAATCCAACACCAAAACTTTTTTTATTTTTCAAACAAAATTTGTTGATAACATCCAACTCACCCACTCTCTCATTTGCCCTCATTTGACAAATAAATTATGATAAGATAATCTGATTACTTTAGGTAGATAGGTTGGTACACAGCACCCGAGCCCATGGGAGGTACTACCGCCCTGCCAAGTGAGTGTAAAATGAAAGCCTGTAATTGGTTTTATCATGATGGTAGATGCCTGGTGTCCTTTTTAAAAACAGTCTCAAACATGCAAGATTTCAGGTACGTCTGCTACTTCTTACACTAGGTCACACTACCAATACATGTATACTAAGCATTATATATATACTCACACCCCCTGGGTTTCTTCTATTTTTCTTTCTTAGTGGCTTGTTCTGTTTATTTTCCTCTTATCTCCATGGGGAAGTGGAACAGAATTCTTCTCTGTAAGCCATGCGTGTGTAAGAGGTGACTAAAAAATGCCTGGGAGCAAGGGGCTAGTAACCCGTCTCGCGTAAAATTACTAAATTTGAAGAGAGACACTTTTTGTTTTTTCCGGGGGGGGCCACCGGTGCCTCAGTGTGATACGGCTGGTTTGTTGAATGAAAGATCTGATACCTCTTTGTAGGTATTAGGTTGTAGACAGCAGCCGCCCAGGAGGTACAACCGTTCCTGCCCAAGTGAAGTGTAAAACGAAAGCATGTTAATTTGTTTACATGATTGGTAGGATTGCTGGAGTCTTTTGTCTGTCCATAAATTATGCAAGAATTACAGACGTCTTGCTACTATCTTCTTACACTTAGGTCCACTACACAATACATGTACAGCATATATACAAACAGCTACCCCTCTGGGTTTTCTTCTATGTTCTTTCTAGTTCTTGTTCCTGTTTGATTTGTTCTCTTATATCCATGGGGACGTGGATCAGAATCTTCCTTCACGTTAGCCATGCGTGTCTGTAAGAGGCGACTAAAATGCCAGGAGCAAGGGGCTAGTAACCCTTCTCCTGTATATATTACTAAATGTAAATGGAGAAACTTTTGTTTTTCTTTCTTTGGGCCACCCGCCGCGGTGGGATACGCCAGTGGTGTTGAAAAATCTGATTATTGCTAAGTGTGTGACTAATGTAAAGTGAAATTGAAAATATAGAGAATGGTATATACTAATAGTTAAAAGAGAAGTGAAAATGAAATTAAAAATTAGGGAGGTGAGAGAAGTTCGGAGTAGAATTGTTATTTTATTATGAGGATAAACAGGGATGTGTGATGGCCACCATGGTTGCTCAACATATTTATAGATGGTTTGTAAAAGAAGTGAGGCAAGTGTGTTGTGGAGAGAGCAAGAGTAAAAGAAAATAATCTAATACAAGGTGGAGTTGTCACAGTTGCTTTTATCCAATACATGGTGCTTTTTGAGAGAGTGAAGAGAAGTTACAGAGGTTGGGAGATGATTTGGAGGGTATGCAAAAGATGAGAAAATAAAAGTGGACATAGGGTAAGCAGCAAGATGATGAAAGTAACAAATTCTTTTTCTTTCAACACACAGCCATATCCCACCGAGGCGGGTGGCCCAAAAGTGAAAAACGAAAGTTTCTCCTTTTATATTTAAGTAATATAATATACAGAAGAAGGGGTTACCTAGCCCCTTAGCTGCCGGCATTTTAGTTGCCTCTTACAACACATGGCTAACGGAGGAAGAATTCCTGTTCCACTTCCCCATGGAGATAAGTAGGAAAAAACAAGAACTAAAGAAAATTGCAGAAAACCCAGAGGTTGTGTGTGTGTGTGTGTGTGTGTGGTGTGTGTGTGTGTGGGGTGGTGTGTGTGTGTTGTGTTGTGTGTGTGTGTGGGTGTGTGTGTGTGTGGTTGTGAATATATATATATATATATATATATATATAAATATATTAATTATATATATATATATATATATATATATATATATATATATAATATATATATATATATATGCTGCTTGTACATGTAGGTTAGTTTGAAGACCTAAGTGTAAGTAGAAGTAGCAAGACATACTGAAACCTTGCATGTTTATGAGACAGAAAAAGACAACCAGCAAATACTACCATCATGTAAAACAGTTACAGGTTTCTGTTCCACATTCATCTGGCAGGACGGTAGTACTTCCCTGGGTGGTTGCTGTCTACCAACCTACTACCTCCCTAACAAATACTTGGGTAATAAACAAATAGATACCAGATTGGAAAAGGAGTAAATATCTGAATTGTATTCAGATAAAAATTATATTTTTTTAGGAGCAAACATGAGGCAAAAGGGTCTGTGAAAGATGAGGTGAACCATAGAATAAACTAAGGGGAAAAAAAAGTTGGTGGTGCATTGAAGCATACATGAAGACATCCATGGAAGCAAAATTGAGAATGTACCAGAGTATGGTGGTATCAACACACTTTTATGGGTGTGAAACAAGGGTTTCAAACATTGAAGCAAGGAGGAAGTAGGAGGCAATGGAGATTTGTCTGAGGGCAATGTGTGGTGTAAATATTATGCAGAGAATTCGTAGTTTGAAGTTTAGGAGGAGGTGAGCAGAGTTACAAAAAGTATTATCCAGAGGGCTGAAGAGGGGTTGTTGAGGTGGTTTGGTCATTTAGACAGGATGAAGCTTGGACATCCAGCAGGCATGTGTGTGTGTGTGTGTTAGGAGTGAGTGGAGGTTTTTGGGACCTGAAAAGCTGTTGGATTGTGAGCAAGGTAACATTTTGTGAAGGGATTCAGGGAAGCTGGTTATTCAGATTTGACTCCTGGAGGTGGGAAAGTACAATGCCTGCACTGTAAAGGAGGGGTTACAGATATTTGTTGTTTGGAAGGACATCTGCACTGTTGTACTTGTGCACCTCTGGCAAGACATTTAGTGTGAATTATAGTGAAAGTGTTTCTATTTTTTGGGTCACCTAACCTTGGTGGGAGACTGTGTATTAAAAAAAAAAAATTGCATATCCTCCTTTGGGTCACTCTGCCTTGGTGGGAGATGGCCATCGAGATGGCATCAGTCTGTTCACAGATAATGGCTTTATTAGGGGATTCAGAAGAGAACAAGAATATATCTAGATTCTGTGCTTGAAAGTTGATATAGCAGCAGACGAACTTAAAAACCAAGGTAAATAATAAAATAGAAGGTAAGTTGCTAGTATTGTGAGGAAATACACGTTGAATTCACTGGGGAGTGGTGCAGTGTGAAGGTCTGCATGGACTGGTGTATTTATCAGGGCCCTTCTGGAAAGGCAGCCTGGGTGTGTATGATAGTGAATGTGTTGAGTTAGGTCACCTTGTTTTCATGAGAAATAGCTAATATAATTTTTTCCCTCAGTAAAAGCATGTTCAGCGCTAAGAGACAAGAAATACTGTTGAAAATATTGGTTGTAGAGGTTATCTATTTCTTACACATGACCTAAGTTCTGGGGCTTTTATTCCAACATTTGTTGTCTTCATTTCAGTTCAAACATTGATCCTTATTATTTTGATCGAATTGATTTTCACAGTTGAGCATTTTTTGTGCATGTTGGAGACATACCATGAGAATATCACTGATAAGATGCATTCATTTTTTTTATTTTTTATCTCATTTCTTTAAATATGGTACTTGCTGAAAATAATACCATACCTATTTGTGGTAGCTTTATCACTTTTTAATGTGCAGGTTTTCTCACAAAGAAGCCCACAATCTGTATATGAAAACTGGGCAATGTTTTGTTTTCTTGGACCAGTATTAACACTTTACTGAAGGTTCAGGTCAAATTTAATACGTTGTCCACTTTTCATTTTCTGTTTGTCAGCTTGTGGTGATATAATCTGTTTTATTAAGACTTTTGTTCTCCATCTATAATATGTACCATATTTAGAATTTATTTTTATCTCTTTGCCAAATCATTTGGTCAAATTTGCACAGTATGCACTGACAAATGGTGACCATGGCATCATCCGCACTCTGGAGCTGCCAGTGTATGTGACAAGAGTGTCTGGTAGTTCAGTATACTGTCTGGACCGTCAAGCAACTCCCCGTGTTCTCACCATTGACTCTACTGAATTTCGCTTCAAATTGGCACTTGTCCAACGCAAGTATGATGAAGTAAGTTTTTCAGATTTGACTGATGGGACATATGGCATGATTGGGATGAGTAGGGCATTCAAGTGTCTTACATGATGGAGTAATAATAATAATGACTAATTTGGGATTTTGTTAACCTTGAATGCCTGTTCTTACAAAGAATTCACAAATGCTCGTACACTATTTTTTTTTTCCAGTTTGTTATTCATCCCCCTAATCCTAAAAGCATGACATGCATTGTATGCATCAAATATTGTTTATAGTTATTGGTTTGTAGATGAATGGTTCAGAGAACCGACATGTTTGAAAAATTAGACAACATGAATGGCAACTCTTGGGTATCTTTATTGTGGGAAACTGTTTCGCCGCCACACATTGGCTTCATCAGTCCGTACGTAGGAGAAACTTGAAGAACAGGAGGTAATCAGTCCCTCAACCTTGAGTCGATGTGTTCAGTCCATCAATCTTGAATAGAATGCGGCATATCAGCGGAGAGGCAGCTTATAAAACCGTATGCAGGAGAGGTGCAGCAGTCATAGGCCCGGTCCACCTTTGTTCAAATTGAGGAATAGGTCCGTGCCCCAAGAATTAAGGCAAGCGAAGATACCCAAGAGTTGCACATGTGTCTAATTTATCATAGTTATTGGTATAGACTAATGATATTCATGAGGTCCCCATTCACATGCAATGTTTTGGGCAAAACTTGACTTAAGCTTTAAAAATTAAGAAATACAATGCCTGCACTTTATATAGGTTAGGGTGTGTAGGAGAGAGGGAGATTACTTCCCAGGAAAAGTAGGTCTTAGACAGGGATATGTAATGTCACTATGGTTTAACATGTTTATAGATGGGGTTGTAAAAGAAGTAGATGCTAGGGTATTGGGAAGAGGGGTGGGATTAAATTATGGGGGAATCAAATACAAAATGGGAGTTGACACAGTTACTTTTTGCTGATGATACTGTGCTTTTGGGGGATTCTAAAGAAAAGTTGCAAAGGTTAATGGATGGGTATGGGTGTGTAAAGGTAGAAAGTTGAAAGTGAACATAGATAAGAGTAAGGAGATGAGGGTATCAAACAATTTAGATAAATAAAAATTGGATATCTCGTTGGAAAGGGGAAGTATGGAAGAAGTGAATGTTTCCAGATATTTGGGAGTTGACTTGGCAGCAGATGGGTTTATGAAGGATGAGGTTAACCATAGAATTGATGAAGGAAAAAAGGCAAGTGGTGTGTTGAGGTATCTGTGGAGACAAGAACATTATCACATGGAGGCAAAGAAGGGATGTAAAGAGAGTATAGTAGTACCAACACTTATATGGTGTAAGCGATTGGGTGTAAATGCTGCATCATGGGAAGTAGTGGAAGATTCATGTCCTAAAGGCTAATGTATGGTGTAAATATTATGCCAGAGAATTCATAGTGTGGAAATTAGGAGGTGTGGAGTTACTAAAAGTATTAGTCAGAGGGCTGAAGAGGGGCTGTTGAGGTGGTTTGGTTATTTAGAGAGAGAATGGAACAAATTAGAATGACTTGGAGAGCGTATAAATCTGTAGGGGAAGGAAGACAGGGCAGGGGTCATCCCCGAAAAGGTTGGAAGGAGTAAAGGTTTTGTGAGCGAGGGGCTTGGACTTCCAGGAAGCGTGTGTGAGCGTGTTAGATAGGAGTGAATGGAGACGAATGGTTTTTGGGACCTAACGAGATATTGGAGTATGAGCTGGGTAATATTTTGTGAAGGGATTGAGGGGAACCCAGTTATTTGGACTTGAGTCCTGGAAATGGGAAGTACAATGCCTGCACTTTAAAGGAGGGGTTTGGGATGTTGGTAGTTTGGAGGGACATCTAAGCTGTCATATCTGAGTGCCTCTACCAAGAAAGTGATTATGTATGAGTGCTGGTGAAAGTGTTGAATGATGATGAAAGTTTTTTTTTCTTTGTTTTTGAGTCATGGCTGACGTGTTAAAAAAAATTCAGAAAAAATCTATAGATACAACCTGTGTAGCTTATGTTTTCCCCATATTTTCTGTAGGTTTTGCAAATGGTTCGTGGAGCCAAACTGGTGGGACAGTCAATCATTGCTTACCTACAAAAGAAGGGTTATCCTGAAGTGGCTCTTCATTTCGTCAAGGATGAGCGAACGCGATTCCTTCTGGCGCTGGAGTGTGGCAATATTGATGTGGCTTTAGATGCTGCCAAGGCTCTTGATGATAAGGGATGCTGGGAGAAACTAGCAGAGCATGCCCTCATGCATGGCAACCACCCAGTAAGTTGCACAATGGATATGTTGCATAAATAAGTACACAGCTTTTTTTTTGTTTCCCTTTCCATCACTTGTAACATCATCTCCATACATATTTATATTTACTTTCTTTTTAGTGAATCTGAATATATTAATTCGGTTACATTATAGCTGAACGATGTATTTAGATACATAAAACCAACTACAGTGGAACCTCTATTTAGGAGTGCATCCACATGCGAGTTTTCCAGATATGAGCAGTTGCTCAGTCGATTTTTTCCTTCCAGACGCAAGCGAAATTTCCAGATTTCTTGACGCTGGTGACGAGTTACTTGCTCTGTTCAGGGAATTGGGGGAAAAAAAATTTTTCTCCTTGTTTGTTGGACTATCTTATTGAAACTTGGGCAATGTATGCTGGGAAGGTGCGTCTTAAAGTACACCAAAAATGAAAGAAATCGGACCATAAATAACAGAGTTCATTTCTCGGCCATTGGCCTCCCCTTAGCGGTATATTTTCGTATGGTTTTTATGGGTGTATTCTCTTTATTTATTTATTTTTTGTCTCCTTTGATAGAATGGAAGATATACTACAGAAATAGATATGATTTTGATTGGTTTCATAACGAAAAGTACCTTGAAACTTAGCTCAAAGTAGCAGAAATGGTCAATTCTTTGGCGATGTTCAAGAGTAAACAAATGATGTCACCGTTCACTACCTGTCCATTTGGCACTGCCCCTCAACCCTCACATATTGGAAAGCTCTTCAACATGCTAACAAAAGTGGGAGCAGACTTCATGAGGTAGCAGTGGCAGACAACAAGAAGCAGCAGTGGCAGACAACATGAAGCAGCAGTGGCAGACAACATGAAGCAGCAGTGGCAGACAACATGAAGCAGCAGTGGTAGACAACATGAGGTAGCGGTGGCAGACATGAAGCAGCAGTGGCAGACAAGAAGCAGCAGCAGTGGCAAACATCATGAAGCAGCACTGACAGACAACATGAAACAGCAGTGTCTGACTTTTTTGGGTTATTTTGGTTTTTGCACATGTATCAGGAGCAGGAATGGCTGCTGTGGGGGGGCCCTTTAAAAACCCCCCCAACAACAACAAGGCTTTTCACTCCCACTACCATCAAAATGTGTGTTTGTGTATAAGCTTGTTTTTTATTCCGTGTATATATCTTTTTTCAGTATTAATTTGTTTTCAATTAGAGAATTTTGAAAAAACCGTAGAGTTGAAAATTAGGAAATTTTGAATTTTTGTTGTGCTGGAATTCCCTGGAACAGATTTTTTTCATTTAATTAATTTAAAATGAGGAAAATTTGACTCGCAAACGAGCAAATCCAGATACGAGCAGGTCATGAAATAATTAAACTCAAGTAGAGGTTCCACTGTAATTGGTTACATTTAAATTTTCGAACCATTTAAAAAAGGTTCTAAATACTATTTGTGTTATTGTTCCTGTTGATTTGTGGCCTCATGACAGGTTTTACAGTAATTGTATTTTGCAGGTTGTTTGAATACGCACCCCCAAACAAAGAACATGAAAAAAATCCATTCCTTTACCTTATTACTGGAAAATTTGGCCAAAATACGGGGTATGATGAAGTTAAAGAAATTCGCAAAAATTTTGAAGGTTGGGGACACCAATGCTCTTTTTCTGGGAGATGTGCCAGAGCGAATTAGAGTTTTGAAGGCATGTGGCAAGGCATCCTTGGCACTATTAAAGGCTGCCACTCATGGCTACACCCAGGTTAGTCATCAGATTTGTTTTCTTATAATTGAATGTAACTTTAAAATGTTTAAACTTCATTTTAGGTAGTAGGTTGGTAGACAGCAACTGCCCAGGGAGGTACTACCGTCCTGCCAAGTGAGTGTAAAACGAAAGCCTGTAATTGTTTTACATGATGGTAGGATTGCTGGTGTCCTTTTTTCTGTCTCATTAACATGCAAGATTTCAGGTATGTCTTGCTACTTCTACTTACACTTAGGTCACACTACACATACATGTACAAGCATATATATACACACCCCTCTGGGTTTTCTTCTATTTTCTTTCTACTTCTTATTCTTGTTTATTTCCTCTTATTTCCATGGGGAAGTGGAACAGAATTCTTCCTCCGTAAGCCATGCGTGTTGTAAGAGGCGACTAAAATGCCGGGAGCAAGGGGCTAGTAACCTCTTCTCCTATATATATTACTAAATGTAAAAGGAGAAACTTTTGTTTTTCCTTTTGGGCCACCCCGCCTTGGTGGGATACGGCCGGTGTGTTGAAAGAAAGAAAAAAAAAAGTTAAACTTCATTTCAATAAATAAAAATAAATTACCTTGCTGTTACAATTGCAGTTCCAAATTATGCAGTGTATTTCTCTAACTATTAAAGTCATGATATCATTATGGTACCAGTACACTTATATGGATGTGAAGCATGGGTTGTAAGTTCTGCAGCAAGGAGGAGGCTGGAATCAGTGGAGATGCAGAGTCTAAGGGCAATGTGTGGTGTAAATATTATGCAGAGAATTCATAGTGTGGCAATTAGGAGGAGGTGTGAAGTTACTAAAAGTATTATTCAGAGCACTAAGGAGGGGTTGTGGAGGTACTTTGGTCATTTAGAGAGGATGAAGCAAAATAGGATGACTTGGAGGGTGTATAAATCTGTAGTGGAGGGAGAAGGGGTAGGGGTCGTCCTAGGAAATGATGGGGGGAGGGGGTAAAAGAGGTGTTGTCTGCAAGGGGCTTGGGCATACAGCAGGCATGTGTGAACATGTTAGATAGGAGTGAATGCAGATAAATGGTTTTTGAGACATGACGAGCTGTTGGAGTGTGAGCAGGGTAACATTTTGTGAGGTGATTCAGGGAAACAAGTTAGCTGGACTCGAGTCCTGGAGGTGGGAAGTACAATGCCTGCACTTTGAAGGAGGGGTTTGGGATATTTGCTGTTTGGAGTGACATCTGAACTGTTGTATCTGAGTGCCTCTGCAAAGACAGTGATTGTGTAATGGGAGATGGCCGATGTGTTACAAAAAGAAAATCATTATGGTCACTAAAAAATCTTGAAGCCTCCCACACTATGCTACTATGAATTGAGAACTGTGAGGCGAAATCTCAGTCCTGTAGATGCTACTGCCTGCTGGCCATATTCAAACGTCCAAATATTTGTTTTACAAGTCTCCCACCGAGGCAGGGTGACCCAAAAGAGAAACACTTTCACCATCATTTACACACAATCACTGTCTCTGCAGAGGTGTGCAGATATAACAGTTCAGATGTCATTCCAAACAGCAAATGCATTGGAACCTCAGTACTCGAACAGCTCCTTATTTGAACAAAGCTCAGCACTCTACCAAACAAACACAATCTGCCAGAATTTCACTGTAAACTATTTCGTGTTTCTTCGCATTTTTTTTTTTAATTGTATAAATAAGTCACCATGGAGCCTACGAAGATTAATGATAACATCCCAAA